GTTGTGATTCTTTCACAATTAAGCCTCTTTTGTTACTGTAACTGTACTTGTGCAAAACCCTCTGTTGGTTCCATTTGTATAGTAGGCCACAGTATTGTAACTGCCTAGGGACACAGCTCAATGAGAACTCGAATTTTCAGGAAACTTAGCTAGTACTTGGGTTGCTTCCTGTTTTCTTATCTTGTCTATCTTGTTATGTGGTGAGAACACAAATGACCCTTCAGCTTCCTGTTTTATTCCCTGTAGTTTTCATGCACACCGGCTTTGCTTTTAGCTGCTTTTGATGACAGCTTTCAATGGAACCCTGATCTCCCACACCCTCCCCAGTTATTCACTGAACACTTAACCCTCAGTACTGTCAAGCAACCCCGCTCTTCCTCCAAAAGGCACACTCAAGAGCTTTGCTGTGCTAGAGCTGCAGCAAGGACAGGTTGTAGAACCAGAGCTCCAAATGTGCACACTAATACGAGATGTTGCAATGAAAAGGCCCCACTAAGTCCCTTAACAGAAGGCAAAACTGAAACTGGGTAAAGGTAGCAGTATGGCAGAAAGTAAATGAGATACATGGTCAGTCAGGGCTTGACACTGCTGCCAAAACGTTGCATGTCTGGTTTGTGTAACAGCAAGAGTAACTAACCTGCTCTTCTAATCAAAAGGTTTCATTCCGTTTGAGGCAGGAGGCTATCCTAGGAACTGTGACCTCCTGCAGTGGATGAGCAGGAAAAAACCAACCTGATCCTACTTTGGAGCAGAGTAAAATCATTTTAAGATCAGATTCACAACAGCAACAGTTTGGATTAGTGTAGCTTGGATATGCCTGGTAATTCCCAGAGGCTCAGCTTTGTGTGACCGGCTCAGCATCTCAAGCCCCACTGTCTTGGGGCATCACTGCCATTCTGCCTTCCCAGGCCTCTTATCAGAAGGTGAACGAACTTGGAGCAGTTCTTGGTCTTTTTTTGCCTGTGCAGTGAAAAGCCCCTGTTGTCACAAACTGTCCACAGCATGAATCTGAGTGGGTTCAAACTGTCACTGCTACAAACATAGCCAACATGAGAAGGAGCTGTAGGTGAGAAACGAGACCAGGCTCGCCTGCTGTGGTTTTCACCAGGCAGGTTTACAGCAGCTTCCAGGGAAGGGCTCCTTTGCACTGACCAGAAGCCCCATCTCCATTCCGGATGCACAAAAGTTATTATGCCATGGCAGTACCCCTGCATGGGATAATTCACTGAGAAAAGACTCTGCTCCTAGCTGTCATGTAGGCAACCCTGCCAGTTCTCTTCTATTCAAACAAGAGCCTCCCTTAACATCAGGCACTCTAGGAGTCTCTTATCAGTGAACAGTGGTGAGGAAACCCAGTGTTGCTGCCTCTCTCCATCTCCCTGGCCTATAAACTGAAATATACACAGACTTCATTGCAGTTAATACCACCACCTCCTATTTCTGACCACTCCTCAGACTCAGCTGAAACGCAGCATGAGTACACAGGTTCCTGAAAGCCAAAAATACTTGCTAAATTTATTAAGCCAGAAATACTTGTTAGGAAATGCTTGCTCAGAGTTTACAGCTAAACTGGCCCACAGAGATACACTGTTATGTGATCCCAGCATACACAGTAAAGATGTGATACTGAGTGGTACAAGTCATGGTGAAGCACATAGCACAGCTTTGTGGTGGTTGAAAGGGACATGTCCCAGAGCCTTCCAGGTATTTACACAGCGTCATCAATAGGTATGACAGGCTGCAATCTGCAAGTCCTGTTTTGTCTTTGCCAGGGCCTTGTGTTTTGCCCTGAACTACTTCACAGTGCCAGAGCAAAGCATATACATGTAAATACATGTATGTATGCAAGACACAATGTGGAGTTCCTGTGCCCAGCCACCGAATCATGTTTGTGGTTTAGTGACAGACCAGACTATATTTACAGCCTCTTTCTCGATTCTCTGTCCATTGTCTTGCTCCTTGTTCTGTTTCTTCCAGTCCCCCCAGTTGTTGCTCCTGCTGCCCCACACAGAATCCCCTCTTTATGCTTTGCTTGCCACTGGCATGATTTCACCAGAGACCTGGTTCCCTGCTTCCCCATGCTTGATGCCCTTTGCCTGGGTCTCAGTATCATCTCAAACCCCACCGTATCTTTCTTTCCCAGAGCTAGTCCCAAGTCGCTGAAGAGCATGGATGAAACAGAAGCCTGCTGACTTAAGGACTGGTGCCAACTCTGCAGCTGCCATTGGCAGGAAAAGTCCAGGCAAAACCAAACCTGCTGTTGCCTGAGGAGGAAGGGGGTCAATGCTATGGATGGTGACTGCTGCAGAAAGGAACCCCTAACCCCCATTTCTGCCCAAGCACTTTCTCCCTCTCAGGGATTTTTTGCCATCAGAGAAGCACTCTACTGCGCAGTCAGTGGGCAGAATGTTGCTGCTCTCTCCCTTCAAGTAACTTCTAGTTTCAGACCCGCAAGATCTACTGAAACTGTTGTCTTCTGTTTCAGCAACTGCCTAATGAGGTCTTTAGGGGAAACTGTGAAGAACGTGTAGTCATTACCATCCTGAAAGAGGAATTTGAAGTTGTTTCCTATCTGCTTTACTTTCAAGGCAGAGGAGAGAGAACCTGCCTGAAGCAGGGCAGCACTGGGGCTGAGCAGCTGCTGCTCCTCCTGCTTTGCAGAGCTGGGCTTCTGGAAGAGTCATTCACATCACAATACCTCATGGAAATCTTCTGTTTGCAGACAAAAGCTGCAGTTTTAACCTGTAGGAAAATAAAGGTGTATTTGATAACAAGAAGAACCTTTGTCACATACCTCTAAGAACACTTGCATGGTGAGAGAGGACTATTTCCCCCCACTCTCACTATCCCCTTGGGGATGGGGACTTGTTTTATTGGTAGTCTGTCATCATTGCAGTACAGACCTCAGCTTTACCTTCACCCTGGACTTGCCATTTCTAGGCTTTTATCTTAGGGAAGCCTTTTTTTTCTAGCTCTCTAAATGTCTTTGACACAAAGGTGAACCTTTTTGCTTTATTCCTGCACTAAGATGCCATTTGGAAATGCTCTTAGTGTCCTACGTGATTAACCTGCACTTAAACACCCTAATAATAGAAGATTTTTGTATGTATAAAGTTGTCAGACTAAGAATCATGAAAGTCACAGCTGCATGTGCAATATTGCTGCTCTTGCCTGCTAGTGTTCTGGCAGTATTTAGCACCCTGTGGTCAGGATGCCAGTGCTCACTGTATCTCACACTTTGTTTCTCTACTGAAATCCTTGTGTAGTTCTACAGCTTATTTTGGTCACCTCTGTTTAAACCTCTGCATGAACAGAGGATTGCCAAGGCTTTCCTGGAGCTTTCCATGGCTTCATGACTGAGGTGATCATGGCATCACAAACACTCACTTTCCTCAAATTCACTTATTAATTGTGAACAAAAAGGACAAGAGTTCCTATAGTTAACTTCACCCTTCCCTATGCAGTCCTGAGTTATTCCCGTAGCATAGTCCAAGGTATGGCTTTAGTGAGGTATATGACACACAGACAAATTAAGTGTCATAAGACATCACTCCTACCATCACACCTAATCCTTTATCCTACTTCCTTTGCACAAAGGGAGGAGAACTGAGATGCTGCCAGCAGCGTGCTGTAGCTTGGCCATAACCTAACTGTTGAGTACTTTACAAGATAAGAATGTTCTGAAATGGGGGAGGATTTGTGAAAAAGAAGTGGGAAATACCAAAATGTCATTTTGGGGGCATTCCCTTGTCTTCTGTGTGGATCATCAGGAAGGTGGCTCCTGAAATTGCACTGTGCAGGGCCAATGTCACCAGTACCAATGGAGTATGTTGCAGCAGTGGTGCCACATCTTGAACAGAAATGACAGGGGTCATTTCATATAAAAAACCATACACGTCAAATATTCTGTCGGCACCATATTGATACGCGGATAGACTCCACAGCTAGGTAGGGTTGTAAAGTAGATATGCTTTTATTCAGCACTGAGGCACATGGGGGGGTCGCTCCTCCAAATGTATGCACGCCTTTCCTTTGCCACTCAGTTCATTTTTATTACATATAATGATTACCTAAACATGAGATTGCTTCACGCCTCATACATATGCAAAACCTATTCCCGTCTAGTATTATTACTAGTTTTTGGGCATTCGTCCCATTGATGCACCTGTGCAGTGCCTCCTGTGGTGGTCATTAGGGGGTCGTGAGGATGAAGGCCTGGAGTTCCTCTTCATCACCACAAGTAACCTCTTGCTTTCACACAGACTCAGTGGGGTTTCGGCTCCTGTCCAAACCTCAGGTTCGGTACAAGCCAGTTTTATGTATCATAAAGCAGAAACTTGTCCAGTTTGCAAATGTTGTTACTCTGGCTATCTTCTGTTCCTTTTCTTTCTATGGATCCTATTTAAACAAGGATCTCTTCAATGTTATGAATCTTATCTACTACAGTTCTGCCTGGCAGCTGTAACTCCTACAATTCTGCTTCACTGTTGTAGCAACTTTGACTCCTAGGGTTCTGCTTCACCAAGCACAGAGACTACTTAAGCAAGCAGGCACAATGTTAACCCTTGATTCCCTGGTATCAATATGATGCTTAAAACCCTCTCACCTCTGTTATTTTGTGCATGATTCATGTTACCACACTGTTGGACAAGTGGGTAGTATTTCAGCTAAGTGTCAGGGGATACTAGTGTTAATCTGTAGTTTGGAACGAACAAAATCAACACCAAAATGCAATGTTAAATCCATGCCATGAAGAACTAATCAACGACATCAAAACGGTTTGAAGTACTTTTAATGTTGCTGAATTGTGGTAGATTGAAAGGGGAGCCACAGTTCTACACGCCTGTCAGCACGAACACGTTGTTTTTTTACGGGGCACTGTACATCTCCGCATCCCTTCCACAGTACACCAGCTACCGCCATTAGCCCTGTGCGCCGCTCCCCGACCCCACCCCCGAAGCAAGATGGCAGCCGCCGCGTTTCCCATCATGCCCCGCGGGCCCGGCGGCCCCACCCGTTCCGTGGGTGGTGCCATCAAAATGGCGGCGGCGGCGGGAAATACGAGTTGTGTTGGTGGCTTGCGCTGCTGAGAGCGGAGCTGAGGCGCCATGGATGCTTCAGGCTGCATGAAGTCCCTGCTCCTGGCAGCCACGCAGTATCGGGCTGCCAAGACGGCTCCCAACGCGGCTCTCCTGCAGCGCAGTCTGGAGGTGAGGGCGGCGCTGGTCGGGGGCCGTGGTTGGAGCGGAGCGGGTGGATAATGGTGAGGACGGGAACATGGCGGTGGTTGTTGTACCTCTTAGGTTATGAGGGCCGGTTGTCTCTTCTCGGCGCCTGCCCTCGGCTGTCTCCGCCTCGCTGGTCGGCCGCAGCCCAGGCTCCGGAGCCGCCGGGGCCTTGGCCGGCTTGTGACCGCTGGCAGCCTGCGGGCGCTGGTGCTTTCCGTGTGGAGAAGAGAAAACTCCGTGCCATTGCCAGGGGCTGGGGGAGGCCGTCGGACAGAGGAGACGTGTCGGTTTTTAGCAGTGTTTCTGGGCCGTTGGTGTGTTCTTTTTTATAGCCTTTTGGGATGGTTTTGTTCGTGTCATTATGATCACCTGTGTATCAGCTAAGCATATTAACAGGCCTATGGTTGACCTTCCCCCCCCCTTATTTCTGACTCTCGAGGATCATTAATTTTCACACCTTAAAAACAGAGTTTGAAGGATGTCTTGTATCTGGGGTTTGGTGGTTTGATGGAGCATATAATCAAAAGTGTTTGTTGCTCAGGGGAGGCCTGTCTATTTCCCAGACCTCCAGGCAGAGCCTTGCCCCCAACCTTGCAGTGGGCATGCTTGGTATGGTGAGACTGAGTTGCTTAATCTGCAGGGTACTTTTGTCAAATACAGATATATTTGTTAAATTGCTAAAGCACTAATGTAAGAGTTAGTGTTCAGCCTAGATTTCTTCTTTGTACTTGTTTGAGAGATACATGTATGGGATATGCAAGAACAATGTTGTTGTTATTATTATTATTATTATTAATTACTTGATGTGCAGGTATATAATTTTCAGCATCTTCTTATATAGGCTTCCTTGAACTGCCGTTTTTTCATCTCAAGCACCGAGTGGTCCCAAAGTAGCACTGCCTTTTACTGGTTATCCTTCCAGCAGCACCTTTGGGTTCTTGACCTCATCATCAGAAAGCAGGCTGTTGGGCTCAGCTGAGGGCTGGTTACAGAACGTTCGCAATCTGTTTGGTTGTTCCTTCAAAATAAACAATCCCTGTATTCTGTCTATGATAAAACACATATAGGAAGAATAACCTGGCGTAAATTGTGTTCAGTGTGTGAAGATACACAGGTGTTGCTCTGCTCCAGCTATGAGATTGAAAAGGATGCTGTTACTGTAAATGCTGTAAGCAAGCAAACAAAAGAAGCTCCAATGTGTTATAAATGATCACAGTGAAAACTTGCTATTTTCCAAAAGTAGAGGGAGCACATCCACAACAATGAAAGCCAGGTTTTTTTTTTTTCAGACTTCTTCCCTCTTTCTTCGTTTTTCTGTTAGAGTGCATTTACATTCTCAGCCTGGCAAATAGGGCAGAGTGTATTTAATACAGCTCTGTTCTGGCTTCTGTGTTAAATACTTTGCTGCAGTTGACTAATTAAGGTTGGTTTTCTCCTTTCATTTCCAGGTTATCTCTGGACTGAAGCTTACACGATTGTTTGCTTCAAATCAGATTCTGCCAAGTGAATGTCTCAGTTGCCTAGTAGAACTGCTTGAGGATGCTAATATAAGCCCATCTCTAACCTTGTCTGTGATTACTTTGCTGTCACAGCTAGGTAAGTTTTGCATCTGAACTTTTTATCTTGGGGAAAGGAAAGGCAAGATTGGTGCTGATTCTGTGCCATAGGTGATGAACTTGGAAAAAGTCTAAGGTGTGAAAGATGAAGTGATTTTCATTTTAGTGGAACGCTTGGCTGAGCCCCATGAATGTATGTACAAGCCCAGATAAGATGATATAGCACCATGAGAAGCAGATTTGAAGTCATCACTGAAACAACAACTATCATGCTTGTCAGCATTTGTTTCCACCCTGGGTAGGGTGAGGAATTATTCTCTTGTCCTTGATTATTTTATTTTTTTGAGCTTGAAAACACCCCCTTTTTTTAAATGAAGTGACAAAACCTGCCAAGGGGGATGCAGAGATAGGGAGAAGCCATATTACATCAGCAACTGTCATCACTTTAGTTTACCTCTCTTATTGGAGTGTTTGCTGGGCTGCAGTTTGGGCTCTCTAATGGCCTGGGCCTGTGTGCATCAAGTTTCCCAATTACAAAATCGGTTCTGCTTCCTCTTGCTTGTTTCTGCTTAGATTGGTAGCCAATGCACCAGTTGCTTTTGCTGTTAGATAGGTGATTCGTGTTCTTTTTAATAATTCTTAAATTCTAGCTTTAGACAATGAGACTAGAGAAACTCTTCAAGATACCTACAATCTGACCAGCGTGCTGGCAGGAGTGGTTCATCGAAGTTCTACTAATCTTAGCGACCCAGTCTTATTACAGGTAACAAGAACTAATGCTTAAGAATATTTGGCTGTAATTATGTAGTGTGCATTATACTGTATGCATACAAAAGCTCTTCCAAAGTGCTGTCTGAAATAATGTGTTGAGGTAGAGTTAATCTTAGCTGTGTGTTTTATTTGTTGTATGAGGCTAGTATAGCAGGATTATAATACTGCGTAGAGTTCTTTGTGTTCTCTCTTTAATCCTGCTTGTGTTTCTCACCTGCTTAAATTAAAAGAAAGCCAAAAACCAACAAACAAACCATAAACAACCACCAACCAAAAAAAAGCTACCCTGTATTTTAAATTATTTCAAGAAATCAGTGCTTGAGGGCTTGGAAGGTTACTTTCAGTTGAGGTATTCAGTTATTTCTCCTAATGTTCGTGATAAAAGCATGGACACTGGTCATCTTCGTCGTGTAATTGTGAAGGAATGAAAGAAGCTGTTCAAGGCCAGATTGGATGAGGCCTTCAGCAAACTGATCTAGTTGAAGGTGTCCCTGCCTGTGGCAGGGGGGTTAGAACTGGATGAACTTTAAGGTCCTTTCCAACCCAAGCCAGTCTATGATTCTCTATTAACTTCATATTAATGCATTTATGGGCCAAAAGAATGCCGAAGGGAGGACTTCACTACCACTGCATTTGTTTGCAGTCTTTACAGCAAACCTGTTTTCTGTAAACATACTTTTTGTTAGAGGTTGCAAGGTACTTGTTGGATTTTGGTGGCACTTGTAGATCTTCCAATAGGGAAAAGCCCCTTTCTCACTGACAGAATGGACAACTTGCAAATGAGGTAGTGGGGAGAACTAAATGGACTAAAGGTAACTTCTCTGTCAAAATAAAACCATATTAATCGGTTTGGGCTGTTACTGAGTGGATCAGTGTGGTAGGATGTTACTCTTTGTGCTTGCAGCAGTTTATGTAATTGTTATGTTAACATTAGAGAGTCTGGAAATTAATTTAGTGGTTGTGTCTTGCTATTTGTTCTTTCAGTTTCAGCTTTGTAACTTGTAACATTCTTCAGTGATATGCTATAGGAAAGACATATGTGAATATCTTTTTATTTCCTCAGAGTATTCAGTTGCTGCAGAAGCTAACCTACAATGTTCCTGTCTTTTCTGCTGGTGCCAACATTGATGAATTGATTTCATTTCTAATGCAACATGTGTAAGCATGTACTTGGTTGTCTTTTCTTATGGGTAGTAGCTACGTTTCCAAACTTTCTGAAGGCCAGTAGCATATTGCACTAACCTGGTCTCCAGAGTAAGCTGTGGCATTTTTGTTCTGAATTCTTTGAAAACCATGCTGTTACAGATTGCCAGCTGCAGTGATTGTGGAACTTTGGGTGATTGAATATTAATTTGCCTCGTAACCCATCCCACACCTTTAGGAGCAGGGAGCTGACAAAGAGAAAAGCCAGAAGAAAATTTATGCCTGTCATTAGGAGTAAACTTGTTAGATTAATGCAAATTTTGTGCACATGTACTCATAAAAGGTCCAATGACTATTAAGCACATGCAGTAAATTATCTTTGATAGCACTGATCTCTGGTACTGGGGTTTGGGTTTTTTTTCAGATGTACTCCATTAAAAACTGCTCACGCTGTGGTGGCTGCATTTAGAATTTTGCTTTGCTTGGTAGGATGGTATCTAATTAAAAAAGCAAACCAAAACATCTTCCATACCCGTTGTCCCCCATGCTCCAACTTCTTGTAATTAAATTCTGGATACTTTAATAAAAACATATTTTCTTTTTTTAAACTTCTGGACTTTGAAGTCAGCACACTGAAGACGAGCTAACGATACCGTGTTTGGGACTCCTGGCAAATCTCTGTCGTCACAACTTGTCTATTCAAACGCGGATAAAATCTTTGGTGAGAGTTTTGCTTTTGTGTCGTGATCGTCTGGCTTGCGTGCAAAACACTTGACTCTGGGGAATTACCTTTGTGTTTCTTAGGTACTGTTTTTTTTGTGGCAGTAATAACCCTGGCCTGCTTGTTCTGCAGTGCTGGTGTGATTTTCTCTCATGTTTGAGGAAAAAGCCAGTAGCTCAGGAAACTGGGTGTTCTTTTTCATTCTCCGCATTGCTGTGTTGTTGCACTAGTTTGTGGTATGCATTCAGTGCCTGCAACTGTTCTCTGCAAATGAAAGGGGAATTTAAAATGTGAGCGCTCTTCCTTAGAAGAAATAAATGTTGTTAACATAGACTGTAGTTGGATTTTTTGTTTTCCATAAGCTGGGTTGGTAATTTGGGCCAAGAAAGGGATTTGCCTTTTAAAAGACATTAAAACACCACTGATCATGATAAGCAGAGATAATGAGCAGTGTTCTCTGAGCAGAAAAGGGACAGGGCTCAATTTGCAGTGGTGGTTTTCTATTAGAGATTTCAGTACAACTACTTAATTTCAGTGAAATTAAATTAAAATAATGATGGTATTTCTTCCTTGGATGGTTGTGTTATTTTGCTTGGGTTTGGTTTTTGTTTGGTTTTTTGTTTGTTTGGTTATTTTCATTATTAAAGTTCAAAAGATAATTTAGTTGTTGACATCAACACCAGTATTGTGCAGTATAACACTAAAATACTTTCCTAGAGAACTGTTATGGTTCTAATATGTTTTTTGTATTCATTATTTGTATGGCTTATTTTTAAGTATGGGCAATATGCAAATTTGGTGTTCTTTGAAGAACAGAATTAGTTTGTAATGCCTGTGTTTCTCCTTCTTGCTTTAGAATAACGTGAAGAATTTTTATCGTACCTTAATAAGCTTCCTTGCCCATAGTAGCTTGACTATGGTTGTGTTTGCACTTTCACTATTATCAAGCCTTACTTTAAATGAAGAAGTAGGAGAAAAAGTAAGTAATGCTTTGAATCTGTTATATTCTCCATTTGTAGATAAAGCTAATGCTCACACTGGCCAAATAAACTTCTAATTCCAGCTAGTTTTACTAAAAACCTAGGCAAAGTAAGTACATACCCATAGATAACTTTCTTCTTCCTTTCAGCTCTTTCATGCTCGAAATATCCATCAGACATTTCAGTTGATATTCAATATTGTTGTAAATGGAGATGGTACTCTAACAAGAAAATACTCTGTTGATCTATTCATGGATCTTCTGAAGAACCCTAAAGTTGCCGATTATCTAAGCAGGTATGGCTTCACTTCCTTAAAGTACAAGATACTTCTCCTAAGCTCTTGTTCAGTCTCTTTGCTCTGTGCTATTTGTATTCTGAACCAAACAGTGGGGAAAAAAGTCCCTAGATGCTTTTTGAATATTGCTAGTTGATAATAGCGGCTGTATATGAAGCTGAAGGATTCTTGTGTTACGTTGATTGACACATGCCTGTGACACATTCATTATTATCCCTTAAGGAATATTTAATAGGGTGTTCAGTAATTCTTTGAACAGTATTGGTGGTCAAACAACTTGGTGAGTAGCAATTTTGCCTGTTACAAGTCTGTATTATCTTGAAGTGGAATAGTATGGTTGAAGCTGTAATAATTCTACCAGAGGGTGTTAAAGCTGTAGAGCTTGACTAGTTTTGCAAATTCAGCTAGCAGATTTTAGTTACTGAATTTCAATTTAAATCTGATAAGTAAAAATATCTGGAAAATCTTGGCTTGTTTTTAAGGAATTTTCTTTCATTCTTGGAATATTTTTAAAGCTATGTGTATTTTAAATAGAAGTTACTCTATCAAAACTATCACTGTAGTTGAAGTGTTTGGGAGTGAGGAGAGGAATAGGGCACTTGCATTCGTCACTTGGTACAAATGTCTGAGTGTAACAGAACTGCCTTTAATTCTTTTTCTTTCCTCCTCTATGCGTGCTGTAGATATGAGCACTTTACCTCATGCCTTGGACAAGTATTAGATCTTCTTCATGGAAGGGATCCCAATTCATCATCTAAGGTATTTATACTTTTCCAATTTAAGGCTAAGAGGGTGCAACTCCTAATCGAGTTCCACTTTTGCTTACATAAGTAAGCTCCTTGTGTACAAGGATTGATAATGAAATATATTGACTTCAGGATTCCTAAATGACCTATAGTGTACACCAGATTGCTATACTGTAGTTATTCACAAGGCTGTCAGGTTGGATTTGTAGTAGTTGTTTTTTTGCCAGATTGTGCCTGCTTTCAGGTAGCAGACCTAAAGGCAAAAGGCAACATGAACACCTTTTGTGCTTTGGCTAGTAGGAAATCTTGGGGTCTACCACAAATGCAGTGTGTACCTTACTTCACCGGCTAAAGCTTGAATTAATACTACTAGGACTGATCAGGGAACAGTGATGCTCACTTCCAGGACTTATTCATACATTCTCTCATATTAGTTGAACAAATTGATGTCACATTTGGTTAAGCAGTTAACTGTTGTATTCAACTTTGACTCACTATCACTTTACATAAATGAAATATTGGCTATCTGTTGCTAAAGACTAAAATATTAAACATTGTGAAAATATTTGGGCTAAATACATCTGTGAAACAGCTCTTAAGCTTTTCCTATGAATGTGTTTCACATTATAGTACATAATAAATGCTAAGGTTTCTATATATGTTATTTTGTTGTTGATTTAGCAAGACATTGACAAGGAGCCTTCCAGGGTGCTTTCCTCTTCATCCCCGAGTATGCACATAGAATCATAGAATAGTCAGGGTTGGAAAGGACCTTAAGATCATCCAGTTCCAACCCCCCTGCCATGGACAGGGACACCTCACACTAAACCATGCCACCCAACGCTCTCTCCAACCTGGCCTTGAACACCGCCAGGGATGGAGCATTCACAACCTCCCTGGGCAACCCATTCCAGTGCCTCACCACCCTAACAGGAAAGAATTTCTTCCTTATATCCAATCTAAACTTCCCCTGTTTAAGTTTAAACCGGTTACCCCTTCTCCTGTCACTACAGTCTCTAATGATTAGTCCCTCCCCAGCATCCCTGTAGGCCCCCTTCAGGTACTGGAAGGCTGCTATGAGGTCTTCACGCAGCCTTCTCTTCTCCAGGCTGAACAGCCCCAACTTTCTGTGCATCTGTTCATGTCTTAGAGTATTTTCCCTTCCATAGTTTTCTTCATTCTGAGCGTATATGCATTTCTACTGCTTCCTGGATACCCAGCAGTCATGCTTTTTAAAAAAGAAGGGAAAGCAATACACTGAATGCTGTCACAAGCCTTCACCAGTCTAATGAACTGTGTTTTGTTGCTGACTTGGCTTTAAGGGAAGGTAACTGTTCTTCAGATAACTTCTGAAGTGCTAAAAGGAGTTGCATAGAATTAGTATATCTTTCTAGACCTGTGCTATGGGAGTTGCAATTTCTGTGTAAGTACTTGATTTAAAAGCATTTGAACTCTCATTCACTTCACACAGATCTTAGAGCTCCTGCTTGCCTTCTGTTCTGTGATAGAACTGCGTCATATCCTGCGGCAGGCAATACTGGAACCATCTGGCTTGCCAGTCTCTGGAAATACCAGATCTGTGACTCGCTCAAAGACTTTTGAACCATCTGTTGCATTGGTGCACTTGTCAAACCAGCCATTGGAAGGCTCTGAAGACTCTTCTGTTCTAGCATTGCAACTATTCAAAGAGATTTTTGAGGTACCAGGACTGATAATTGAGTTTAAAGAGCTTGTTAGCAGCTATATTTGTAACTGATTTTTAAGCAACTCTTAGCATTTTACTTGAAATATAGCATGTAAAAATATATCCCAAATAAGCTTCTTCCTGTTCTAGAATTCCATACTTGGTAAAACAACTTTTCTTGTAAAGACATGCTGTAGTTTAGAAATATGCCAGTGTTGAAAAGTAAGTGGAAGATGCAGTAGTTTGTGAAGTCACGAGGTAGATGCTAGCTAAGCTATCAACCGGTTGCTTACTAAGGCTTGAAGCAGTGTGGAAGTTTCTGCTCTTTCTCGTTGAACTCCCTCCTCAAGTGTATTACTGATCTGCAATCTTAAACCTGAAATAGCAAGAGGCTGGGAAAGCAAGAAGGCAGTGGAGGAGGGGTAGAATAGGCTTGGCTTCCTTGCTTTGTAGTTTCAAAAACTGCCATAAAATGTCTTTATTACAGGATGTTATTAATAGTGGGAACAGTGCCTCAGCCGAGCATTTTGTGGATCTTTTGCTGCCTGTTCTTCTTGATCATCTTCAGATGCCAGAACAGATTGTGGATGAGCTATTAGTGAAGAAGTGTGAAAGAATGGCCAAGGCTATTAATGTCCTGACAAATATCCTTTTTGTCTGCCTATTGGCTGTTAATTTATTCCTGCACCATAATCTGCTCTAAGATATACTAGACAAAATGTCTATCTAGGGTGACTTTAATATCTTTTAATGGCAATAACTGCCCTAATTTTACTTAGGACTGTCATCTTGAAAGACCTTAAGTAGCTTTCTAATTGCTAAGAAATTATTTTGTAATATACTGGTGTGGGATGAAATTTAGATCAGTGAAATAAGGAAAGATAATGTGAAATTGTACAATTTCGCACTCCTCTTGGAGTCCTTAGTGTCCGTAATGTGACGTAGTAAGGAGGACATGATGCATCTAAGATGAGTTCTGTGAAGAAGTCTCTGCTAGTTCACTCCTAGGTAACCTGTTGTTGTTTTGGGGACTGATTGCTGACTGCTTTTTTGCTCATCTTTATGCCACTCATTTTACGCTTGTTTCCCTTAGCTGTTTGTGTCCAAGTGAGTGTTTTTAATTGATAAGTGAAGCTTACTTGGTTTGTCAGTTAAACATGAGTCAAGTGGTTTATGTAGTTGGGTTACAAAAGCACTTTTGGAGGCTCTTGTGCTTTGATACACCAGCTTTTGTGTCCTCTTTTTATTAGGAAATACTGTCTTTTTGTGCCAATACCTAAGCATGAAATTTGTTCTTAACTCAACCTACTGCTCTGTAGAGATGACATACTGAAAATGCATGCCTCGAAGGTGCTGACTGCCGGCCAATGCACGTCTCTAATAGAACACCAGTTTACCTGTAGTGGGATCGATACTGGTTTTGGGACAAAAGTAGGGGACTCTAAAATGTGGTGAGCACATAAATCTATATAAAATCTAAGCTGGTAAGACTCTTCGTGATATTGTTTCAATGGAAAGTATATTGTAGTTAAAAATGCCATTTAAATGCATGTAAATCAGTACTGTTTTAAAATCCAATTTGGTATTTTTGTGGCAATAGAAATTAATGTTGCTGGTCAGTTCAATAGTTAAAACCTAATTTAAACATTCAGATGCTGGTTTTGGCATGAGCTGGGGATCCACTTACGTGGAACAAAACCTTAAGTCTCATGGAGTAGTTCAGGTTTATCCAAGATGAAGCTTACTAGAATTGCTTAATGCACCTAATTTTTCCTTTTGATTTTATGCAATATGGAATCCACGTTCTTTCAGCTCAGTGTCATTAACCCGAATGTCAATATAACCAAAAGTTATATGGCCAAAAATCAGAGAAATATAATTGGACCTATATTTAAACCCTTCTCAGTTTCAACTTGAAAGTGGTTTTTTGGTCTTCACTGTTTCTAACCTTGGCACGCTGGAGAAGCTCAGCAGCAGGTCAAAGGATGTCTCGTGATGATACGTTGTTGCCTTGATAGAAATACTTAATTTCTTTGTGAGGGTATTTATTTATTTAAAAGCTGACTAAATTTATGTATCAGTGCTGATCTGACAAATCTCTCTCTTACCCTCCTTCTTTCCCCTTTGCTTTTCTATTTGTATGTTTAAAAGCAAACTTGCTGCTGATATTATTTTGAAAACACTTGATCTTATGAGCAGACTGAAACAGGATGTACCTGGTATGGAAGTCAGCTTCTACAAAATTTTGCAGGTATTTTGCAGTTTGAAAGTGTCATATGAAATGTATCTGTGAAGGGAAGTGTCACTGCAGTGCAGTAGTTCTAGTTCTGTATGCTTATCTCTGAAGCGGTAAAACTTCAAGGGCAATACAGTCCCCTGGGCACGTTTCTTAAAGTTGTTTTGTTGTTAATTCTTCTAAAATAAGAGCAGTTGGCTTTTTCCTGCAATTATGTATTTCACTAATGCACATTTAGTCATACTTCAGCTGCCTGGTAAGAGCTACCCTTTTAAGACTGCATTAGGACTGCAGTTTAAAGGTAGCAGACTGGGAAAAACCCATCACAACCATGTAATTGTTTGTGCAGTTGGTTATTATTAAATACACACATCTAATTTGTGACTTTGCCTGGTCGAAACAGTTCTGGTAACTATTTGTCAGATGGTATCTTAACAGTTTACTTTGTAGATGGAAAATAATCGAGACAGTCAAACACTTCATGCTAGTTTTTCTTTCAAGAATGGAAATTAAGTAATTTAATGGGTAACAATGGGAGTTTCAGTTCGCAGGAAATCCTTATAAAATGTAAGCTTTGTGGTGGAAATTAAGCACTTGAAAACTTGAGGGGGATTAGTCTCTTTACCTGTTGCTTTGGCTTTAATGGGAAAAGATGTTTCTAAGTACTCTGAAGTGTAAGCTATTTTTAAAATCACTTCTCTTCTGTAACTTCAGGCTCAGAAACTTAGAAGGGCAAACTTTAAGATGGTAGCTTAAGTTTTGAATACAACTTTTCTGTGCTAATGGGCTGTGGGAACTGCAAGCTGTCCTGTTCCTGCTATGTGGATAATTAAAGGAGAAGTGCTGATAGTGCACCTGGGTCTTGAGCAAGCCAGGGAGTGTTTGTGTGTATGGGTGCAAGGTCAGGCTTGGAAGCAGCCTGGGGAGTGATTGTTAATAGAATAGAATTTATAGTGACTGAAGACAGTCACTGTGATTGATGTGGTCTGTTTGGCTTCATAGCTCAGACCTATATCTGTATATTATATATTACCATGCTATACCAAATAAAGACGAACAGAACAAGAACTGAACTGGAACTAGTTGTGGAAGCTCTGTGTGTGTGTATGTGTGTTTAGCCTCATTCTTTACAGATGCCACAATAGGCATTGATACTGTGATGTCTATGTGGTGTTGGGATTTTTTGTTGTTGACTGTTATATCTTGTTTTGACCACAGCAGTTTCTTTTTTAGGATCCACGCTTGATTGCACCTTTGACGTTTGCTTTAACATCAGACCACAGAGAGCAAGTCCAAGTGGGACTTGGAATATTGTTTGAGGCTGCACCTTTACCAGATTTTCCTGCCATAGTGTAAGTTTCTTCTTGTGATAGACTGGTAGGATTTGACATTTTTATGGGTTTAGTGATATTGGTGTTTCTTGGCATGTTACTTGGCTTCATTTGTAGTGAAGAAACTGTAGTGATTTCGGAGGACAGAGGGAAAGAAATAGTTCAAATGTTGACGATGTTCAATTAACATGGATCCTAGAGAGAATACTGGTGTCTGACTCCTGTCCCTCAGAGTTCATTTGCCTGTAGTCAGTGCTTGGGACTATCTACTTGGAGTGTGTCCGACATTCTAAGTGTCAGATTGCTCTCTCTGCTGAACTTTGACAGGCATGTCACTCTTCAGTTCCTAAAGCTTTGTTTATTCTTTGTGTAGTAACTTCCAAGAAAGAACAGAATAGATAAGACACATGCAGATAGCAGTTGAGGTAACATTTAAGGGGTCTAAGTAGGAGAAAAAATATTGAGAAATTCTATTTGGTGGAGTCTGTATTTCTGTAAATGTAATGAAATAGGAAAAACTATCTTAAATTGTATCATGGTCTTTGCAATCTTGAAAACCAATCTGAAACTTCTTCCCTTTTTGTTAGTCCAACGTTTAAAAAAAAAGTAAAATAAAATAGGGATTACTTGAAAGAGCTTCCAGATCAGATTCCTTTTTGGCATTTCAGCTGCTTTTTTTGAGTGAAAGGTTTGTAATATAACTAAGTTATCTTGGAATCGTGACTGTATTACTACTTATATTGGAGAAAAAGAAGGTGACCTAACCAGATCATGGAGATTTGCCTCATTGTGGTTTTTTGGTTGTTTTTAAGAAAGCTTGTAAAGATAGCAGCATTACAGGAACTTAAACTCCCTTCTGCTCAGCCCTAGTGGGATCACATCCGGAGTGGTGTGTCCAGATCTGGGCTCGCCAGTATTAGAGAGATACAGTCATACTGCAATGAGTCTAGTGAAGGGCCATTAAGAGGTTGGAGGGATGAGCATATGTTATTTAAGGTGAGACTGAGAGTGCTGAGATTGGTTTTGAGAAGGCTCGGGGAGTATCTTATCAGTGTGTATAAATGTATGATAGAATGGAACGAAGAAGATGGAGCCAGAGCCTTTTCAGTGGTGTCCATTGACAGGACAGGAGGTAGGCACAAACTGAAATACAAGGAAAATCAACTTTTAAATTTCTTTAGAAGGGCAGGGAGGAGGACACAATAAAACCAAAAAAAATCCCAACAACTTTTACTGTAAGGGGAGTCAGACACTGGAAAAGGTTGTCCAGAGAAGTTATAGATATACTGACATAGTTATAGATATATTGATATAGTCAAAACTACTGGACATAGTCCTGGGCCACCTGCTTAGAGCAGGAGAGCTACCAGACGATCTGTAGAGGTCCCTTTCAATCTCATCCATTCTATTACCACATGGTTTTATGGGTACAGGAAACATTTTTATAAAGGCCAGTAACAAATAGTCTGGCTGGAAGAATGAAGGATCTGTACAGTCCAATATGCCTGGAGTCGTACAATGGAATAGCCAAATAACATGTCTATAAATGCAAGTTAAAAATAGGCTTTGTTCACTTACAAAGCAATTGAGACAGCACTTCAGTGAAGTGGCTGGGATGACTTAGTAAGGAATTTATCAGTAGGAAAAGATTTTTGACTGGTGCTTCAAAAATCAGCTCTTTTGATTTCTCTCTGATTTGGCACGTCATGAGTAGCTGCCTCTAAAATACCAACCACAAGTTATGTGCATACACTGAAATATAGTTAATGTAATTACTTCTGTCTAAGCTTTTGTGTTCTCTTCCCCATACAGATTTTAATTGATGGCACTTTTTATATCCAAATGTTTACATTTTTGCTAAAACTTCCAAAATGAAATGTGCTGTACTCAGTATCGTATTGTAAAATAGCATCAGAGACAAGGAAGAACTAAGATTTATTGGTAGCACTCTGCCTTTTCATGATTTGATCTTATTTTTGTGCCTAATAAAAGTTCTTGCCCTTTTCAATCTTCCTACTTGCAAACAGTGGCCTAGTTAAGTTGAATAATGATATGTGAAATAACCTGTTTCTCAGGCTAATAGAGACAGGTGGTCTCTTCTGCTCAAGAAGAGCTAAACACAGTGCCCTTTCTGGCAGGGTACTGCATTTGTTTCCAAAGGTTACCCATGACAGGCTTTATTTTTTCTCTGCTTTCCGTAGAAACAGTTTGGGCACGTGTCTAATACCACATCTTAATGTGTGATAATGCAAATGTGACTGTTGTGTAATCTGTTTTCAATGAAAGAGAAGGTAGGTTATGAAATGGTTCTTATCTTCAGTCCTTACAATATTTGTAGCAGCTTGTTTCAGTAATGGTCTTCTTTGTGTTTATACAGGCTTGGTGAAAGCATTGCAGCAAATAATGCTTACAGAAAACAAAAAGCAGAGCATGCATCAAAAAGAATCCAGCTGCTTTCACCCATGACCAACGTTACTTCGGTGAGGTGTTCCTCATCCTGTATTTCAAATGATGAATCCACAACGTCAAATATTCAGGAATTAATACAAAAACTTCATTCTGGACTAGAGGTTAGTAGAATTAATATACCCCTTTTTAAATACTTGACACTCTTTACTGGGGGAACAGGGCAGAAATCTAAGTGTTAGGCTGTCGCGCAAGTATCAGTTGAGTCCAGTTTAGATTCCTGCTTGTTTGGAATGTGCTCCTTTTACTGAGCTCCTGAGCAGAATTCAGTGATGATTCTTTGTGCTACATCAGAAGTAGTTAGGGGCTCCTTATTCAGATCTCTTTCTCCAATAGGCTTACCCATGCGCTTCTTAGCTGTCAGATGTGGAGGCAGGTGTCAGATACGGTTGCAGCTGCCAAGGCTTGCTGCAACGCATACAGGGAGCCTCTTCCCACTTCCTAACAAGCAGCCTGTGATGAAAGAGATGATATGCTGCTTTAGAAGAGTATGGTGCACCTCTTGTATGCCTGAGCATGCATACGAATGTTTTCCTTCTTTCCTGTAGCTGACTCTTTAATTTTTCCAGTTACATTTTTTGTGGCCTTCTTGGAAAGGCACTATTATTATTTCAGAGGAAAGCTTTTGCTTCCCTCTGCAGCAATATGCATGGTGAATGAGGCACCCAAACACGCACCACATAGAGTGTGCCGCTTTGCAGACCGTACTGTCAAATACTGAATGTGTTTCCTCTTTCTCTTTTCTGTTCAAAGCAAGTTAACAGCTTTGTAGCTACTTTAGACTGAGTGATGGATTGTTGCTTCTCTTTTCTTTTGGCTTAAAAGAACAGTATGCCGATTGGGAAAACGAACAGCAGAAAGTGCCTGTTAATGGTTTGATATCTGTATTAGTGGCATTGCCTTCAGCCTGTTAGTGAAAAAGGTTAAGTGGGTCTTGGTTGGCTTACTTCGTACTCTGCCACTGAATGCTCTCATTGATCATCCTTTTCAGGACAGCACATGACAGCCTGTAGGTACATTGCTGTGTATATATTAATGTCAGTTAAAGCAGCTGTGGGTGCCTGGCAGCACTAGTGCAGCAGCTTCCAGGTGTGACAGATTGTAAAGCTGCTTCAGTTTCTTTTAGAGGAGAAAGTTGTTGCTGAGTTGTTGGGTGAATCTTTTCTTAAACCTTCTAATTATTACAACTTTCCTTTAAAAATCAATATACACATTCACTTGAAATATGCACTGCTTCATCTCTGTGCATTCTGTGTGTTGTGTGAAGCTCAAATGTGTGAAAGAATGTAATTGAGAAGGTTTTTAATACTATTACTGTACAGAATGAGGGGAGTGAAGGGAACTTACAGAAGCTTTTCTTAGGGTAGTAATAACTAAAAGGACATAGAAATCACAAGTTTCAAAGCAGACAAAGACACTACTTTTTTTTTTCCTACTTAAGGGCAGGAAAATGAGCTGAGAACTGGAGCTGCACAGGGACTATTGTTAATGTGCAAGAATCATACATTCTGGGTCAAGGTAGTGCAAAGATAGTAACTTTTCGGTAGGTGTTCATTGTAAGAACTGCTAGGATAGCTTGCATTTGGTTATGTGTAAGCATGGGCAGCTGCTCAAAACTGGTGTTATAGTAGCACTGCCTAAGAAAAAATGTCCTGAAATCACCAAGTTGCAGTTTCACTTGACTTTGGGATTACATTTTGATAAACACTTAGGATTTCTGTCATGTATGGTTAATTTCCTCTAGTGACTGGGTAAATTTAATTCTGTTCTGTTCTCAGAATGACTTTCCTCAGCCTTTTCTGTTAATCTGTTTGTATTTCCACAGATGAAGGAGTCATTCACCGATATGAGGATATCTGACATAATGGATGTCTATGAGCAGAAGCTGTCAGCATTAGCAGTGAGTACAGCCTAATGTGTATGGGTACACTGCTGTCTGTTCATTCAGAAAATGTTAATGGAAAAACGTCCTTTCTATGTACAGGCTAAAGAAACTAGGCTGCAAGACCTTTTGGAAGCTAAGGCAGTAGCTCAGGCTCAGACTGAGAGGCTGATGACTCAGTACCGATGTCAAAGAGTCCAGGCTGAGTCCGAGGTAAGTAGCATGCAGCTTCCTTCTGGGACTCTGAGGTGGGACTGGGTAATAATTGTCTGGGTAGCTCTAGTCGTGATTGCGTGGGTGGAAACTCTACAATGCTTAGTGTAGCTATGCTTGGAAGTTAAGGCAGTCTTCATTTTTAGTATGAACATCCTGTTTTCCTCTGGATTTTTCTTTGGAACAGTTTTCTTTAATGTCCATTTCCTTATAGGAAGGCAACAAAACTAACCTATTGTCCTGATTATTATTCATTACGCATTAGTGTTAAACTAATAGTAGTAATCTTGAAAATGAGTATAGCCACACACTAGAATTCTATGTAGAATTTGCTGGTATATGAAGAACTGTTTCCTGTTTGTGCTTTTTAATCACTTGTCCAAGATGAACTTTCAACTAAAGCTTGCTTCCATGGAATATGTATTTGAGGTGTGCATTGAAAACTTGGAATAATTTCTATTATTTAAAGGTTATAATAAAGACTGGGCTGCATATTGCTAAATTCATAGCTAAAATGTGTCATCTTTTACTTTCTTCCCTTTCTCCTCACACTGTCTATAAAGGAAGCCAAAGGAAATCAGTGAGCAAATTAGTTTGTCAATAATATTAGCTGAGAGAAATAGTTAATGTAGCTGATGGCATTTTAGTGTTAGATCTATGGTCTCAAATATGCCTAGTACAAAGTGACTTGTGAAACAGAATAGTTTGTAACTGTGGGGCTTTTTTTTATTGGGGGGGTGTCCTTCCACTTGAAGGCGAGAACTCTTGCTGCAATGTTGAAGGATGCAGAGCGAAAAAATGAAGAACTCAATGATTTGCTGCAAGCTCAGCGGACCGAATCTGAAAGAGCCCAGACTGATATAGAACAGCTTTTCCAACACAACAGGAAGTTACAAACAGTTGCAGAAGAATATGAAGTACTGAAAAAATCCTCTGCTGATCATCTTCAGAGGTAAGGCGTGTAAGATCTCTAAGCAAATACTTTGTATTGAAAGGGTGAGGAAGCCCTTTGCTGAGCTAAACACATTAGAAAGGCAAAGTACATGCTACTTGATGTTGTTTGGTGAAACATGATTATTTTTTCTTCTATATGCTTATCAATGAGATTAACTTCATTCATTCAAGAAGTTACTATATGAAATGGAATGAGAACCAAAGTTTAAGGCCCAGTTCAGGAAATAGCGTGACCTTTGTATAAAAGGGAGCATTGTTCTCTAAGAAACAAAATTAACAATGCTTAGTTTCTGTTAGTATTACACCATACTGTTGATGTGTTTCTTTGCTCTTATATGCTGTCTTGATGACATGCTATAAGTAGTCTGGAGAAGAAGCCAATAACAGTATGTCTGCATAAGGTAGAAGCTTGCATCTTTGATCACTTCTGTAGCAAATTTGATTGAACTTGGGTAAAAGTGAGGTAGAGAGGAAGAAGGCACCTTGTGTGCCCCAAAATATTTATAAGCATAATTTCTTCAGGATCTTAAGCTGAAAAAGGACATGTGAGACACACAAAGTATCTAAAGATAAAAACTATTTACGAAAAGGGAGTGTGCTTTGGAAGAATAAAGGCTCAAAAGAGCTTTGGCTTTGCAACTCACATGAGCCTGTCTCGTCACTAGGTGTCAGCAAGGCAAAGAAGCTGGTGAAATTGTGAGCAAGTTTCTTGCTTAGTAATGGGAGCAGCCATTATATTTGACAAGTTTGAGGGTATATTGCTGCCAATAAGGGAGCCATTGAGGGAGGAAAAATATATACAACTTTTTATCATTATGGGGAGTCTTGGATAACTATCTGGTATGGTTGCTGTAGAAGTATCTCCTTCTTCGCTTGAACTGTATGCAGTCGTACTCTGCTAACGTGTATGTGACTAATTAATGTGAAATAAGCCAGTCTCAATTTAGTATCTGACAGTTTTACATTCTCAAGAGCAGGCACAAAATAGCTTTCTGATCTTACAATGTGTTTGTAAAGCAAAAATTAGCATTCTAAACTATCTGCACACTTCAAATAATACTGTTCCTTGAAACCAACTGGATAACTGACATCAGGGGAGAAAGTTTTCCTCTTCGTAGGAAAATGGGAAAACATTTGCTTAGAGCATGAGATGTATATCATAAGCTTGTATTAAAGGCATTCTGTATTTTTACAGTGTGTTCAGTTTTGATATCGCAAGACAACAGTCATAGACTTGACTCAAAAAGTCCTTTTAAAAGACTGCAAATACTCAATTTATAGCAGTTTGTGTTAGTCAAAGTTCTAAAGGCATTGGTATGTTTTGTCTGTTCCTAACAGTTTTCTGCTGGAGGAAATTTGCTTCCTGATCCTTAATAATTAAGGATATGTAAGAGATCCACTGATGCTTGGCTTGTTGGGTTGGGGTATTTTTCTTCCTCCAAGTATGTACATTAAAAAAACAAAACCAAGATCCGAACTGCCACCAAAAAGTCCTCAACTGACACCCCACCCCCCAAAACACCTTGCTTTCAGTTTGAGCAGGATAGTTAGCACGTATTTTTATTTAGCAAACTGTTATATTAAAGTAAAAGCTTTTTGAAAGCACTGAAACTCTTCAACCATAGCCCCCTAATTCATTTGTATGAAACCACTGAATGACAGCATAAAGATTTACACATTATATGCTATTCACTAAATAAACGGAAGCAATGAAGAAACTAAATGAATCACTCAAGCAGCAGAATGATAGGTAAGTCCAATTTGGTCTTTTTAAAGCAAATTAAACAGTAAAACTAAGTAGCATTTCACCTCAATTTCTCAATTGAGCTTTAAGTAATGTCTGAGAAGTGGAGTTAGGGGAAGCAAAAGATAATTCAGGGTTGGTTTTGTATGCGTATGTTAGATGAATATGCATGGTAGTGACTTTGGTTAATTTTGTTTGCTCCTGTATTGGGGTTGGGGAGGAATACCCAATATGCTCATAGGCAGGCTTTGTATTCAGTTGAGAAATAAAATGCTATTCTTGGTTTTCCTTTTGAAGTTCATTTCATCCTTCCAGGCTTTTGCCTTGTCGCTAATCAGAGCAGTCCAAATCACTGCCTTGAGTTCTGATCCAATTGGGAACATTTTCATACTGATACCTAAGTTTGCTACTGAATAAATTTGGACACTTAATTTCAGTGGTGCAATATGCAGCTAGCTCAGTGTAATTGGGAAGATATTCTGGTGACAGCTGCCCCTTTTTAAAGGCAGGCTGGGGGAGCAGTTGTTACAGAGATACTCTTGAACTGTCATGAATAATATGTAGACCATGGAAATTAACTCTGTACCTCTCTTGCTACAGGCTGCAGCTTAGAAACTGGTAGATAGGAAGTGGATGAACAAGTCAGCGAGAGTGACAGCAGATGCCATCTAGGCAAAGCAAGTGGCAGATAGAGTATGCCTTAGAAATTAGGCTAACTAGTAATGGAAAAGGTAGATTAGCTTCACAGGTGACAACTGTAATGCTGATAGATGACAGTACCTGTATATTAAATTATTGTGGAAACTAAGTATCATCCTATCTAATGAAGACTGAAACAGCCGTGTATATGGATTTTGGTGATATATTATGAAATCGTTGTGTTTGCCTAGTGGTGTGTGACAATCTGGAATATGGTATTGGAAAATCTTTATACATAGATGTGCTTGCATGAAGCAGGCTTTATTAATGGTATTGTTGACTCAGGAGCATACTAAGAGGTAAAACCCCAGCATCCTTAATCACCAGTAGCAGTGAATTTTGGCTTTGTTTGAATGACAATTTCAGTTCTGCTGTTGTATTTTGGATGCTTTGTGGCTCTAATCAAAAGCAACAGTTTCTGACATTTAAGCTCCAGACAGTAGCTTTTTCAGTGGTTTCTACTGTGTCTCGCTGATCAGAGAAAGGAAATGACTGTTTTATGGGGGGAGAGGAAATAAAATCTGTCTGTGCTCACACTCTGCAAATTCATAGGTTTGATTCAAAGCTCCTGACAGGAACTGGAAAAGATACAAAAATCCTTCTAGCTTCTTAGGATAGAGAAATGGTGGCAGATCTCCTTTTGATCATTAAAGTTTATTTCTCTGCAACTTTAGGATTGCTGCACAGTTGAGAGAAAGCGAAGATCACAGAAAAGAATTACAGCAACAGCTACAGGAGAGAGATGGCAAAATAGCGAGTAAGTCACTTACCTAAACATCACTGAACCTAGAGAGCTAACTGGATTAACTGGATGTTGTTATGGGCTCTGGTTAAGAAGCTGTATCTTACTAAGTAACTTGTAAATCTTAGTTAGCTAGGGATAGCTAATTTAACAGTTGAATGAAATGAATACACAGCTTTTTCTTCTTTAGAAACGATACATAAACTTGATTTCCTAGACTACATGGAATTCACTGAATGCGTGCACAGCATCATATTTCCCCTCAGGATCTTTTTACAGCATGTCCATTGAAACTGTTTTCTGCAGGGACTGCAAATTTTACAAGAGCTTAATTTAACTCTTCTGCAAATATGACTGGAAGCAGTTACTACAGCTTAGCAGTAGGTGGCACTACTCAGTAATTCAATTATTAACAGCTATGTTGAATCTAAAGAAAACAGGAGAAACAAGCCCCAGAACCTTGTTTCCCAGGCAATGCAGTGTATCTTTTCTAAGTTTGGCATCCCATCTTTTAATGTGTTCATTTTCTTAAGCTTTGCAACAGAAAATAAAAGTTCTGGAAGAAAAACTGAAAGCACAGCAGAAAGAAAAAAAAGATATGGAACAAAGTATAGATATTCTTAGAAAGGAACTAAGTAAAACGGAGCAAGCAAGGAAAGAGCTGAGTATCAAGGTAAGGCATTACTTGCACCTGCATTCTAGATATCTGTTTAACTGGTAGAGTTGGTAAACCTGTATTTTGGTGGTAAAGTAGCTAAAGAAAGAGCAGCCTATATAGCGGATAGGAAGAAATTCTCTCAACTTGAATTTTATACCTTTTGAGTAGCTGAGCTTGAATTTAGGAGAAAAGAAGTCAGGGTCAGGTTCTGATGAGGCTGTATGAGGCATGGTGTGTGACTACAGAATATGTTTGGAAGGAAGGAAAAAAACCCAAAACAAACCTGTAGAACAGTATTAAGAGAAGGTACCGCATTCCTCTTTAGTAGTTTTGACTACTGTAAAATGTGGATTAGCTTACTTATTGTGGATTAGCTACATATGTACATACCAAAATGCAACCAATGTTTTTTGGTCTTTGAAATTTTAATAACTGATTTTTGTCTCTAAGAAAAAGCCTGTCTTTTTTCAAAACAGAGACCCGTTTGGCTATACCAAGATAACAAAATAGTGTTTAAAAAAGGCAAAACTAAATCCCTCAAACTTCAGTGCAGCCTCTATGTCCTTGCCTGTAGGTAAGGCTCCCTGTAAACTCACAAGGCAGAGATTCATTTTCATGCAAACTGATCAACAAATGCTAAGTGTGCAGCCTGGCAAACATATTTGCTGTATTTCCGTTCCCTGGAAGCAAAGCCTAATCTCTGCAAGCAGTATTATCCAGCATATAGCAAATATTTCCCTTGTTCTTGGTAAATATTTGCTGGTGTGGGGCTTGAAATGACATGTGGATGGCTTGACTGTGAACACTTGTGCTGCTGAAACAGGGCAATGGTATGGGAGTTGGTGGTTTCCCATGGTATCATTGTGTGGCAGTCGCTGTAATTATTCATGTGCATCAAATACATAGCTGAGAGATTGCCAAAAGGAGCTTTTAAGTTTAAAACTACTTTTTAATTTACTTGTTTAAATTGACCACTCAGCTCACACTGCATTATGTGTGCTTAGCAGTTGATAATGGAGGATATGATAACGTTTTGTTTGTTTCTGCAGGCATCTTCTCTGGAAGTTCAGAAATCCCAGTTGGAAGGACGCTTGGAAGAAAAAGAAGCACTTGTAAAACTACAGAAGGAAGAATTGAACAAACATTCCAACATGATTGCAATGATTCACAGTCTAAGTGGTGGCAAGTTAAGTGCAGAAACAGTGAACTTCAGTTTATAGGGCTTTGCTTTTTAGACTTCAGTATTTTATACATATGTGCGAGTATATGTACAGATGTTTAAACCTGAGGAGAGCACACTGTCTGACTTGAAAAAAAAGAACCAAACAAAAAATAGCTTTCGTATCAGTTGAGAAGAAAAAGTAATAACTGTGGAAGCTTGGATCTGAAAAAGTGAGCTGTTGTGTAGCAAATAGTCCTTGTGGTGGTCTTCATAGAACTATGATCACCTGTATTGGGAGCTGCATGCACATTTTGCTGGTGACTAGCCTTTCTTAAATATATATAGGGAAATGAAATCAAAATAAGAGTCACTACCAACTTTTTAACCTGTATATTCTTGTATTGGCTGCTTGGCAAGGAGAATGCTTCATAGGTTAAGCACTTCCGTAGCCTTGTTTATTTCAACTCTTCTGAACATCACATTTCAACTCGTCTGAGTATCATTATTTGTGCAGCATTGCTTTCTAATGTTTAAGATAGTAACATAAAAATAAAATGGATTTTTTTCAATTAGAATATGTTATGTTGAAAGCTGTATTTATCAGTGTATTGGTGCAAGTGCTTCATGCAGTAAATATAGAATCATAGAATAGTTAGGGTTGGAAAGGACCTTAAGATCATCCAGTTCCAACCCCCTGCCATGGGCAGGGGACACATCACACTAAACCAAGTCACCCAAGGCTCTTTCCAACCTGGCCTTGAACACTGCCAGGGATGGAGCATTCACAACTTCCCTGGCAACCCGTTCAAGTGCCTCAGCACCCTAACAGGAAAGAACTTCTTCCTTATATCCAATCTAAACTTCCCCTGTTTAAGTTTGAACCTGTTACCCTTTGTCCTGTTACTACAGTCCCTAATGAAAAGTCCCTCCCCAGCATCCCTATAGGCCCCCTTCAGATACTGGAAGGCTGCTATGAGGTCTCCACGCAGCTTTTTTTTTTTCCAGGCTGAACAGCCCCAACTTTCTCAGCCTGTCTTCATACAGGAGGTGCTCCAGGCCCGGGATCATCCTCGTGGCCTCCTCTGGACTTGTTCCAACAGTTCCATGTCCTTTTTATGTTGAGGACACCAGAACTGCACACAGTACTCCAGGTTGATGTCTCACGAGAGCAGAATAGGGGGGCAGGATCACCTCCTTCGACCTGCTGGTCACGCTCCTTTTGATGCAGCCCAGGATACGGTTGGCTTTCTGGGCTGCAAGCACACACTGAAGCTGGCTCATGTTCATTTTCTCATCGACCAGCACCCCCAAGTCCTTCTCCACAGGGCTGCTCTGAATCTCTTCTCTGCCCAACCTGTAGCTGTGCCTGGGATTGCTCCAACCCTGGTGAAGGACCTTGCACTTGGCATGGTTAAACTTCATGAGGTTGGCATTGGCCTATGTGGAGGCATTTCTTATTAGAAGGAGGTATGCAATAGAAAACCACATGTGAATGACTTTTCAGCAAGTAGCATCAATTAGGGAAACCATGCTAAAATAAGAAAAACATGAATGTACATATATTTCATAAATACTAGACAATACTTTCCTAATCCTACAACATTTTGCATTCTTTAAAAAGATCTGCACTTTGTTGCCAATCTTCTCTGGCACTTGCTAGCTTTTCTCAGCATTTCTGCTCTACACCAACAGGATTTCATAAATTGTTCATAGTATAACTACTTAGGTAATTTTGGTTTTTAAGAAATATACTTTCATATGAAAGGCTAGTACTAGAACCTGATGCACATTTTTGAGTAGCAGAACACTTTCCTGTCCTTAGTTTACATGTGACATGAATAACGTATCTTTTAGCCGTTGGCAGAGCTGTTTCATTAGCATCTATATTTTGGTAGAGATAACCAGAATTTTGAGTCATTTAATGTATATTTTTTTCTGTAGCATTGCTGCCTTTACTTGTATCTGATTTGTAATGGCTAGATTTTAAAATACCTGAGATTCTTTGTTTTTCAGTTGTATAATTGAAGCGTCTTACTGAATCTGTTCAACTCATGTCTAAGGACGGCCTTGTACATTCTGTTGTGATTATACACATCTGATGAGTTGTACTGGTTTTAACCTGTTACTGAAATGCGGTGTTTGTAAGTTAAGCACAGGTAAGAGTCAGATGTTGTTCTGGTCTCCGTGAAGACCAGGGGAGTAAAACAAAAATCACTTGTTCTGTTTTCTGTGTCATGCATATTCTCTCAAGTAAGGTAAATTATAGGTATCGCTGCCAATTTTGTGTGCAGTGTGTGCAGGTTTGTTGTCTTTTTGCATAAAGTGAAGTTTCTGCTTAGGAGGGTCAAAGAGATGCTATCAGAATTGCTGAAGTGAGGAGTTTTGTTAGTTTTGCAAACTCAATTGGGAAGGAAAGCTTCATTAACCATAAATTATTACTTCAGTCTCATGGGTTCAGATATTTAAATGTCAAAGTACTTTTGCAGATGCGGGTTCATTTCTGTTGAATAACAAAAAAAGGAAAGGGAAAGTGAATGGATTTTATATATTTTACTCTATTTTTTCCCTCTTCTGACTGTACATGAACTGCAACCGTTCATGTAAAGAAATTCAAGTAGGAAATGTCAAGTATGTTGTTAATTAAACTGATAAATGTTGCTCTGAGTTTATTCTCACGTGGTGGAATGAGAGGGCAGAAACATCAAGCTGCTCACTGAGTAAGGTAATGCAGCAATAAGGTTCTTGTCCCCAGAAAATGGTAAATGCATCTTTGAAGTTTACATGATAGAATCCACAGTAATATGGACAATGTATAAATATTGATGGCTTTTTCCCTCTGGAAAAATGTGCTGCCTCAGTATGCTGTTCTAAGCTAAGTGTTGCTGAACTCTGTTGGGTTGCATAGCAAATAAATGCATGGGCACATCAAGCCACTTCGACAGCATTTTTGTGTGCTTTTCCAATTTGTAATGAATAGCAGCTAATGGAACTAGCAAATAAAAATTGATGGCTGTTTAAAATGTTGTTCAAAATGTAAAGGTCTTTTCGCTGTAGAAAAACCTGTAGATTTTAATACTTACTTCATGCAAATAAATAACTGTGTCTGAGGGTTTGCTTTTAGGCATCCTGATATTATCAGTGTTCAAACTAGTTCTGTAATAAGGTTCCCTCCGCAGTTTTAATATTCTTGTACATGCTGTATCCAATATGCTATTGGACTTTTCTTCTTTCCCCACAGGCTCCCTCATTTAGTGAAGAGAATAGCTGGCACCAGCACAGTGAATAGCAATTCAATGGAGTCGATTTTTAATTATCTGTGTCACATCAGGTTGTCAATTCCCTGCTGTACAAGTGCGGGGACTCCTGAGTTGTCTTAGTGCAGAGTAACCTCATATCTCAATACCAGGCACACTAGTACTTACCTGAAAGTAGCTGTCCTCTATTCTTTATACTCTAGAGAGAGGTTTCCACTGGGCATGTGGTTCTGCTTGGCCTGGTATATTATTTCAATGCTGCTGTAAAACCAGTGTTTTTTTTCTGTACCGTGTTTTCTGTGCTCTCTATTTTTTTTTTTGTGCACTTTCTGGGGGTGATGAGACAATAAACAGTTTGGAGTTGATGCTCTTCAATTCATCATGTGTTGTATGTTGTCTTCACCTTACCACTCTTCCTGGTCTTGATTCTGCATTCTTTGATCTTTTTCTACTTCCATGCTAGTGGTTTATTTTAGGCTTTCACTTTCCCTCACATCTCCATCTCTCCATCTCTCTTTCACCACTGCTTCAGAGTGACAGTGCCTACCACTTGCTTTTCCCTGGTGAAGCTTGTCTTGTGCAGAAATTAGGAAGCTTTTCTTGTGTGCAGTTTAGATCTAGTAGTGGAGCCTTAACCACCTCTGGGATAAAACAGGCTGTGGGATGGAATTCTGACTTTTGAATTAAATTGAATTGGTTATCCTTGCCTCCACAGAAGATGAAATGTGAAGCTTTTGATGAACTGCTTCCCATGCTGTCATTGTCCTCCCCCTACATTTGCCTCCGTTACAAATAAGGCAGAGCATTTATTTGTTTCTTAGTTATTGTGGTCAAAAGGTTTATGCTGTGGTATTTGTGCTAGTATGTGCAACTTAATGTAGGCAAAACCCCCCTTTCTTCCCAGGCTTGTGAAACGTTGGCTGGCATTTCCATAACTTCAGCATGAAGTGTTAATATCCTGCACACACGGTCAGACTTAGAAGCTGTACAGTCTGAAAGCATGGCCACGGTGTAGAAGGTGATCCTCAATGTCAGTGCTGGTGAGTAAGCCTATCTAAAAGAAGCACTATCATGAACAGCTGATGTGATTTCTTGATAGATTTTTTTTCAGGGAGTATTTCTCACTGATGGTGAGTAGTAAGATTTATTTAGTGATGGTGTAAACCAAATACAAAATTCTGAGTAAAGAAGTCTAAAACCCACTTATGCTACTGATTCAGCAGTGCTGGTCAGGATCCATGTCTTCTTTATGCTTACGTTTTTCTTGATCAAGAGGTACGGGCCTACGTCTCCAGGAGTTCTCTAGCAGTGAGCTTTCCTGGTACAAATGCAGGCCAAAAATGGGTCAAACTCCAATAAAACTGTGACTCCCAGCTTTAGAGGTTTGGTTTAAGTGCTCTTGTGAAGATGCAAGGAGAGGTTGTCTACTCCTTTTTGTTAGAATTTATTGTTAGCAGCCAAAGATGGGGTATTTTTAGGCAAGTACTTATTTCACAGAAAATGCTTTCAACCTAGCAAAGTTGGTTTATATATAAATAAACTCCTCCATGCACTCCCATCTGGTTACTTTTGAAATCTTCAGATTTGTTCGCTGTCTGAAACATGCTTCCTTTCCAGCTTTTTCTCACCCGTTTCCCTTCTGCAGTGCGACGAAATTGAGAACAGTCTGCTAGCTTTAGATCCCCAGTGACACATTTGTATCTATCTATCTACCCTGGTCCCATTTAAATTGGCTGCTTTCCTTGGAGTACATAGAAAGGAGGGATAACTAGTTTGGCTAAATTATGCCACACTGGAAACCATAAAGCTGTTGATGTAAATATCCCGCTAGTCCTGGACCATGCCTGACAACCAGGGCAAGGTGCTTCCCCACCTCTGGAGTGGCAGCCTGGATTGTTCCAGTCGCTGCTGGAAAAGTTG